ATATGGAGGTATGTAAAGGTCTTTGCTTGAAAGAGAAATATTGCAAATAATATTTTATTTATTGCAGAAATGAAGAAACAATAGGAACTGACAGCCCTACATTTTACTTTTTTACCCAAATAACTTAAATGTTAAGTTGCAATGTAAATATATATAATTAGGGCAAGGAAAAATGTTATTATATTTACAAGTTACAGAACCATTTATGTAAATATACTTGCACGGTAATATTGAAAAAAAAAAACCCAGACATAATTATAATGCTACAAATGTACATGTTTAACTTTAAGAACCAGTTTATGTAAAAAAAACTTAGCACAGTGAAAATAAACAATAATTTAAGAGCTGTCTTGGTTTAAATGAGATATATTCAGAAAAAAATAATAAATATATTATTATGAATAATGTCAGTTAATTCTGACGAAATGTGAAAACATTACCAAGTATATTTCCTTGCTAGCCTAGGCCCTGGCCTATGCTAGCTCGATTACAAAATAAATAATAAAATCGTTCGCTAATAATAGGCCTCATAGTCTACGACCCTACCCTACCTAGCAACGCTAGACCTAGGGCCTAGCCCGAAAAAGTACACCGGTCCCGCCACCAGGCAGTATCATGAGCATGTGGTGAAAACAAGGGTGAATTTTCTAACTTCTTAAATTTCGTGATTTCTTCGTTGCTGGCCTTGAAGCAAAAAAATGGGTTTTCCTTTCTCGGCGCTTCATCCTCCTCCTAGGCTATTTTTGGCGTGTCGTATGTCCTCGATCCCAGAGAAATGAAAAATGTCGAGCGCCCAAACTTTTGTGATGACGTCCTGACAAAGTAAATAAACTCCGGAGCACGCGATTGGTCAAATAGCTTAGGCAACAAACCTTCATTAATATTCATTTTGAAGTCTTGCTGGTTAAGTCATTCAGCTGGCTGCAGCTTTGTTTTGATCCCTACGATCGGACTACAACGATAGCGACAAATATACAGTGCCAAAAATGCTCCCATTTTGTAATAAATTGCACTATTTTGGAAACGGGAGATCGTTTTCTGGTTAAGAGGGTTCGCTGGCAAAAGGGGGATTCGCTGAAAAAGGGGGTTCGCCCGAACCCCTAAAAACCCCCCTGGCTACGGGCCTGATAGCGCATCATGCGAAAATGAATGTAGGGAGAAAGCCACCCCTGTCGAAAGCCACCCAACAATGGATTATACCATTGTTTTTTCATCATTGTTAAATAGGTATTTGTTATTGGTAATAAAAAAAGAAAATAAAATAATATTTATTGTTTAGCCAAAACCTATTGTAGACCAACATCAAGCCAAACACCCCATTGTGCACCCACCTTCCCTTACTGAAATCTTGAAAAATCTACAATGATTATTAACATACATGCATGTTGTCAAAAGAGTTGAATGAATTAAAGGCGTCACAGTGTAATCTATCCTATTGTGAAGCTGATAAAAACAGGCCAACCCAACATTGTCCACCCCACTGCCCACCCTATTTAACAATAGTATATTCCATTTTTGGTGGTTTCGTCCTGGGTGGGTTATGTCCTATGGCTTTTTCTCACATTACATAACCTAGTATTCTCACATATATATTGCTATGCTTTCATTCCATAGTTTTAATTTTTATTATGTTTATGCTTAGGCTTCTGAGACTATGGTCCTATACACCTTGTATTTATAGAGATATTTCATATTATATTTATATATTTACTATATTATTACTATGCTTTTATACCTTTAGTATTAATTTTTATTATCATATTGTATTATGCTCAGGACTGTAATTATTTTTAATTCTATAATTGTTGACCTTTTTAATTAGTCTCTACATTCACTGACATCGTTACTACATTTCTGACCCCTGACCTATCCTGTTTATATTTTTTACACTGTTTATTGCTTATGCCTTAGCCCCTTGTCTCATTTTAATGCTTGAATTTATAAATTAGCTTACTTTGTCTATCCACACTGTTTATGTTTAGCTTTACATTCACCTAAAAAGAAGTGCACTGTGTGCACGAAAGCTAGTGTACTGTCAAATAAACTAGTCTTTAAAGTACTAAATGTTTCTTGAGTTTTATTTTCTATTACATCAGACTGTACGGCTCATCTATTTTTATTTAACTATGCCTGGCATTAAATATGTTATTCTGTTCCAGTATTTTCTTTCTTGCTTTTATACATACCTTTGGTTTTAATGATTTATTTAGTTTTAAAGCATTCTTAAAAATGTTATAAATCAAATTGAAATTATTACCAAGAGTGTGTACTGACCCCTATAAAAATACATTATAACAATGAATGTGGCACACAAAGAATTTCATCTTTTATTAAAATTTGTCTTATTTCAGGAACCTAAGGTAGAAAGGAGAACCAAGTCAGCCAAGCCACGCCCCAAGTCAAGAGTAATAGAAGATCCATACAGAGGCCCCAAGACCAGTCGAAGTGACCCCAAGTACACATTTCATAATGAAGATGTGCCTCTAGGCTTGAGTAAGTATTATTATTTAGAGGAATGAACACACCGATAATATTGTTCACTTTAATAGTTCGTGAATTGTTCTTGAACATTTTGGAAGCATTTTGCACTGTAGCTAAAGGTTCAGTCTCTCAAAATTGAGGTCAGAATTTGGAAACCAATGTCACATGATGGCTCTCATAGCATTCTTGTGATAGACAGCTTATCTGCAGATATCGAATAAAGCACTCAAAGGCTACAGCTCTGATAAGGAACTTGGCTTCAAATTCAAATTCAAATTTATTTTCCAAAAAGGAAATTACATTGAGAGAAAGTCATTGCTCAAAAATTACACAATTACAGTATTAAAAAAAAACATCAATATAAAAATACAGAATTATAAAGTTAATAAAATACATGCAAATTAACACATTAGAAATATCAAATAAAATACATTATATACAATAAAATTGCTTTTAGCTCTATCATTTAGTGCATGCCCAGAAGAACTCCTATTCAGCACTGAATGCTCGGTCAAATGTATATGTTGTTGAATGTAAAGGTACAACTTGAAACAGTATGTAATATCTATTTAGTGAGGTGCATACAAGAGGCATTTTCCCATGAAAGGAAACAACCCCATGTAAAAGCACCATAACCTCTACTCAAACCTCTCAAAACACACATTCAAATATGTAACCACAACTGAACACTTGAAGTTTTTACTTCCAGTGCTTGCTCTGCTATTATATTTAACGTTTTTATAGCACTGCTCAGAATAGCCATGTTCAATATTACATTTCTATCTTATATGCCAAAAGACCGTTATGCACATCACATTGCACAAAGAGAAACTTAACTTTAAATCAGTAGAAACCTCAAAATATAAACAAGAAAATGTCTTTAAAAGGCATTTGGTAGTGTAATCAATAATAACATTGCACAAGGTGCAGAATCTTAATTGGTAGCAGAAACACCTTTATGGCAGGCCTGCATGTTTATTTCATACAGTACTAAAGCAATATTCATCCTATTCCTGCTGAAAATACAAACATCCTGAGCTTAACCATTCCATAACTGGTTGTGCAATAGCTAATCCTGCTAGTGTGTACCATTGCCTTACCATTAGCTTGCGTCCTGACCATTAGTTATGCTGGCAATTAATTGTACTGTATCACATGAACATGTAGACTTGCCATTTCTTTGCTGTACCTGGTGGAAGCTCACATCATATTATCTAGATATTTTGGTCTGCAGGTAGCAACAAGACGTCTTACACCATATCAAGTGGTGATGTATCCTTGGCCGTTGGTAGGTCACCCAAATGTTTTGTTTTCACTCAATTTCGTGTTTCTTTTTTCCCACTTTTTTAAACTTTGGTCATTGCTTTCATTCATTGCATGGGAGCATATGGATCACAGATAGATAGTTTTTGTGTCTACGGTTTAGGCATGATGGGTACTACTACCACGAGGTAGCGGGCACTCTATTGACAATTGAATAGCGTTCAGAATTCGACCAAAATTGCGTTCAAAAATTCAAACACGCATTATAGAGACGCAGCACGCATTCGCCACGAACGCCTTTTACCGTAATTTGAAGGACGCCCTCTAGAACATGGTAGTACTATTCGTGATCAACGACATAACGTGGTAACTCCAAGAGTTACTCATTTTTAAAGTGTTTATAGTAGTAGGCCTATACAGAATACTGTTATGAAAGAAAATTTTCATGAAAAATCCAGATACACTACAATAATACACACATCTGCATATTGAAGAACATAAGATAACATTTTTAAAAAAAACACCCCTGTATAAGGCAGTAGACACACGCTCCCGCTGGGAGCCTATTTTTTAATTATATGGAATTTTAATTTTGCTGAATTAAGTATGTAAAGGTTGTTAGTTTTTGCTGTATTCTTCGAATAGATTAGATGGTACAAGTGATTTAGTTGAAGTATCTTGTGTACCTCCTCCATAAGAAAAAGGAACTTTCAAATTAATTGAAATTTTAATTTTTGTCATTAATTTTTGCTGGAAGTACACTGCTTTGCTTTTGCAGTTTTATTTACAAATTGAACTTTTGTATGTGATGTTTCATTGACAAAGACTTACCTACCAGCAATTTTACAGACCAGCCTCCCAACACTGACACAGATGACACTTGTCAGAAACCAAGCCAGGAAAATGGGAGAAAGGGAAATGGACTTTCAGAAGCTATTCAACGGCGACCTCCCTCGCCTAGATTACGAGAGCCACCTCTGACAGACCACAGGACTCTTCAATCAGAGACTGCTAGCACTGCACAACTAGATTATAGTGGTTTGTGGGATTCTTTTTAATTTCTGCTTTGGTTTTTGCATGGGAATCTAACTTGCTTTGAAGTGGGTGGTGATGGATTACTTTTTCACTTTGTATCCAATGTAAAAGTGCGGTACAAATTGCCTTGCCATTTACTTTACATATATATAAATATTCAAAAAATCCGATATTTATTTATTGATCATTTTGTTAAATATGATCCAAATAAGCATAAGTATTTTTTTTTTTTACAATATTCTTCAGTTCAACATGATTAGTTTGTTTGTTTTATCTTACTCTGTGTTTCTTTTGTTTATATAGCCAGAGAGTGCTACAGTATATTTTACCTGTACTGTTGATATCAAGAGACAACAATTTATGTACTGGAATGATGATATGGCATTTCCTAACTAATACAGCCCTTATCTGTATACAACATGTTCTTTAAATTCAGTTTCCTGCCTGTTTTGAATTCTAAATCAATTAAACTTTAAATAGCATTTTAATTGTGTCTATTTCTTATTTTTCATTTCTACAAAAGCATGAAACAATATAACAATGTAAATTTATATAGCATACCTATAGTATTGAGTATGGACTACATTGTTCTATAGTTTAAATTTGAATAAACATTTTTGTAAAGTAGTAAGGTTGTGAGGGACCTGAAGTATGGATGAATGCTGTATATTAAGCTGTTACCAATCATTTTTGGACCTTGGTGAGATATTTGCCTTCAAATCCATGAGTTACATGCTTAATCCTCTTAAAAAGATCAAGATATTTTTCCAACAACAACTCCACTTCCAATCCAATCCTTTGAAAACAGTGTCATCAAGCAATCAGGGTCCTAATTTAATAATTGGGAACACACCCTCATATAGTGATGTCCCTTCTTTGATTTTGGCACCACTCCAGGAAAAAAAATGTTAATATGTTGTACAACTGATTTTTTAAGTCACAAAAGGGTGTTTGAGGAAAAACTCTGTAACAGTTAATGAAATATGGATTTCTGAATATTTAAAACTGGGAGAAAAGAGGCCTAATCACCCTTTTTTCCACCTTTTTCATGAAGTTATTAAATAATAAAAAATCGGTATCTTATTTACCTTTCCCGAGTTTTCATCAAACACCCTTATTGTGACTTAGAAAAGTCAGTTGTACAACATATCAACAAATTGTTTTCCTTCAGCTTATAAGTTCTAATTTTGAGTTAAGTTTTAATTGTTGGTGTTTTTGTAGGTCCTCGATTGTATGTGAAGCCAACCAGCAAATCAAATCGTCATATCATCACAAATGCAATTGCACATTGCATCCTGGCTGGAGTAGTCAATAAAGACCAGAAAGAAAAAGTTTTGCAGGTTAGTAGGTCTTTACTTCGGTTTTGTTGAATAGTTTCTTGGTGGACCAAAGGCAAACATAGTCTTACTGAAACCAAATGAATTTTCTTCACTGACCGTTGATATCGTTGTAGCATCATTTGTTAGTCTTAATACGTTAATTGTTATATTACATATTTTTCATGTGCTTCACATTTGTTTTAGTCATTTAATAAATATTGACAGTATCATATTAGTAAATTAGTAAAGGTTACCATCATTACTATAATAATAATAATAATAATAATAATAATAATATTTATTTGGAAAAATGCTTTTTTATCAGTGGCACACATCACATCAATGGTGCATCCAAAATAAAACCATAACAATCGAAATCATTAAAACTAACAAAATCAAAACAACAAACAATTTAATGCCTTAATGGCCATGCCCTTTTTAAATAAGATTTACAGAATTCATCAAATATTGTGGTAAAAATAATGATAACCATTTTCATCATCACCATCAAAATCATCATCACCATTATCATCAATATCATCACCATCACTACTATTATTATCTTCTTCATTCTCCTAACTAGGATTTTATTCATCATCAATGTATAGGCCTTTGGCCCTTATATAATAAAAAATTAAAGATTCTGTGTTGCAAAATAATCACTTCACTTCTTAAAAGCAAAATAAACTAGAGATACTATGTTCACTAGAACATGAACCCAGTTATTTTTCAGGATTTGACCCTAAGATGACCACTGTGACCTTTAACATCAAGCTGTGAACACCCCATGTTTGGTAGGAGTCTGTCTAATGTAATTGGTCCAATCGATAGTGACTAGCAATATTTGATAATTTTCACCATAAGGCCAAAAAAAAAAAAAATTGTTTAGCGTCACACCCTCATAAATTTTTTTTTTTTTTTTTTTTTTTTTTTTGCTGGCCTAGGCCCTAATGTGTAGGCATTGAGATTTCAAAAACTGCATTGTTGCCAAGCCAAATCTTTTACAAAGGCTATAACAGACACTAAATTTTACATAAAAGATTTGTTTTTACAATATTTATTTTAATAAGCATCGTGGTTCCGTAGGCTAACTGCTGCAGTGCTAGGCTAGGCCTAGCCATACTTACTACTAGCTAGGGTAGGGATCTAGGCCTAGTCAGGTAGTACTTAAGGTTAGTCCTAAAACATCTGCCAATTGAAGTGTAGGTCGTAACCTATTATTTTTCTTCATAGTACTTTATTATTATCATATTTAAAACATAGTTTATTATCTAAAAAGAACCAAATACAAACATGTACGTCCACAATTTCTGTCAACAAGCACATGTGTGAGGGAATCTATTTTTTTCTGCAGAAAAAGAAAACACTTGGTGGCGCACTTCACATCTTGTTCCCTGTGCTAAAGATGAAAGAAACAATCGTTTTTCCTCTATTATCGGCATTTTTTAGTCGATTTTCAGCACTTTTTTACAGAAAAAAAAAAAATGAGAGGCGGCTAGAAAATCAGGGTCGGACGGTGACGCTAAACAAGTATATATTTTTTTTTTTGGCTTAATGACCCTTGTGACTTTTGAGCTATAGTCGAAGAGTATTTTTTCATGTTTAGAAGGTCCTATGGATCATTCCTGGTAAATTCAAGCTCAATTGGGCTATTTTGAAAATTTGACCCCAATGACCCCTTTTAACCCCTGATCCCAGACTGGGGTGTAGGAGGTGTCACTGGTTATTAATGATCAAATTTGATTGAATTCGATTCAATCGTTTGCCATTAGTAAGATTTTGAACCTTTGACCTATGAACTTTGACTTATGGGGTGAAGAGTCTTTTTTCATGTTTAGAAGGTCCTTGGATCGTATCTAAAACGTTGCCAGAAAGTAAGAAAGAAGAACTAGAGATACTATGTTCAATAGAACATGAACCCAGTCATTTTTTAAGAGATAACCATTGTGACTTTTAACCTCAACCTGTGAACACCCCATGTTTGGTAGGAGTCTGTCTAATGCAATTGGTCCAATCGTTAGTCACTAGCAATATTTGATAATTTTCACTATAGTGACCCTTGTAATTTTTGACCTATAGGTGAAGAGTAGTTTTTCATGTTTAGAAGGTCCTAAGGATTATTCCTGGTAAATTCGAGCTCAATTGGGCTATTTTGAAAATTTTACCCTGATGACCCCTATGTAACCACTGATTCCAGGCAGGGGTGTAGGAGGTGTCACTGGTTCTTAATGATCAAATTTGATTGAATTTGGTTCAATCGTTTGCCATTAGTAACATTTTGAACCTTTGACCTATGAACTTTGACATATGGGGTGAAGAGTATTTTTTCATGTTTAGAAGGTCCTAAGGATCATTCCTTGTAAATTTGAGCTCAATTGGGCTATTTTGAAAATTTAACCCCAATTACCCCTATGTGACCCCTGATCCCAGACTAGGGTGTAGGAGGTGTCGCCAGTTCTTAATGATGAAATTTGATTGAATTTGGTCCAATGGTTTGCCATAGTAGCATTTTGAAATGTTACTAGAGAGAACAAAAGAATAACCCTTTAATGACCATAAATCGCTGAACACCATAAGACCCTACATTATGCCAATACATATGTGGCCAGGGCAAGACTGTGCTATGATATTTGTGACAGAAGAAGTCTTTTATTCATTTTTTTGAAAGTTTTTTACCCTAATGACCCCTATGTGACCTTTGACCCCAAGCAATGAACACACCTTATGTATGAAAGGTGTCACCGATTATACTGACCGTGTTTGGTTGAAATCGGCACAACCGTTTGGCACTAGTAGCGTTTTGAAATGTTGCCAGAAAAAAGATAAAAATACCCCTTAATGAGCTTTGACCCCTTATCCCTGAACACCCTATAGACCCTGCCTTATGCCAATGTATATGTGCAAAGGACAATACTGTGCTACTATATTTGTGAGACAAGTAGTCTTTTATAGGATTTTTGGTTTTTTTACCCTAATGCCTCTTATGTGACCTTTGACCCCAAGTTGTGAACAACACATAAATGGGATGTGGCACCGGTCCTACTGACCAAGTTTTAATTAAATCGGTCCAGTAGTTTGCCACTAGTAGCCTTTTAAAATGTTGCCAGAAAGAAAGAAAGAAACTGCTAGGAAACAGAACCCAGTCAGCATGCTGCTGTATGGGTAATCAGAAACTGAACCCAGTCAGCCTGTTGCTGACTGGGTAAAAAAGAAGAAACTGCTCAGAAACAGAATACACAAAATTTGCTACTTTTTGTGATAATTTTATGTTTGACATTAATAAATAAAATGTCAATGCAAGGGAGAGTATAAGGCAATTAATGCAAACAGACACACCACAGAAAGGAAAACGCTTTACAGTATTGCATGATGTTGTCGTTTAATCAATGACGAAAAGTAAAGTCTAGAAATACAGTACAACAAACAGGTCAAAAAAATAAAATTCACTAAAATGCTGATCCTACAACAAATTATGCAATTATACTTCGACCAGTTACAACTAAAAAATGGTTATCTAAAAAGCCCCATAGGCTATACTCGGGAGTTGTACTGGAATAAAAATACATAAGCATCAAACTTAATAACGAATAAGTATATATTTTGTAACATTAAAAAGTAACAATTACACACTATATGACAATATGTGAAGACTGGGTGCCAGGAAGGCCAGACCAATCGACGATGTGAGCGCCCAGAAAAGGAATTAGAGAAACTGTAACTCTCCATGTCTTTGTTATGGTCAGTGCCATAACAGACGGGAAGACCTCCCCCCCCGACGGTTTTTACCGGGCTGACCAAGTCGTCATACCGGGCTGGGTAATAAGAGAAAAAAAAAGAGGGGAGAGGGAGGGAAAGAGAAAGAAGGGGAAAAGGAAAGAAAAAGAGAATTAAAGAAAAATAAAGACAAAAATAAAAAGGAAGATATCATAATGACTCACAACACCCTGCAATCCCTTCTCTACTTCAAAAAGTGTCCATAGCTCCTTTGATCTAAGCCGCCAGATATTCTCCGCAGTGACGTAACCACCAGGGGACAAGGGGGAAATATCCATCTGTGGAAAATCTTTCCCCACCCCTTTTCACCCTTTGAAAGTGCCTAAAAATCTCAAATTTCACCTCTTCGCATGCATTTCTTGTTAAAGTAGGCCAATTTCCTCTAAAAATTGCACATTTTAGGGAGTTTTGATCACTTTCGACAAAAGTTGAATTTAAAAAATAAAAAATTTTTGCACTCTTAGCGCGCATTTTTTAGGGTTAGCCTTCTAAGTTATTAAAACACATAATAGTCCCAAACTCAAGAAACAAAATTTAAGATAGATCGTTTCACCATAAAAGAAGGGTCTCAGTATGTAATGATGGTGAAAGAATATGTTTGTAATAAATAAAGCCATAATGAAAATGCTTATATTCAGTTTTAGAAAAACGTGTGTGGCCATATATAACATAAGCTCTGAACTCAAAAAAAAATTACTACCCGGGAAAATTATTACATTTGGGCCCCCCCCCCGACCCAAGATCCCTGTTACGCGCCTGGTTATGGTTAGTGTATCCTACAATCCCTGTTCTCAATACAGCAACCCACACGTCGCACAAGTATACAACTTGGGTAATACTGTAGCGACATAATTTGTAAATTACCTTAAAATAATCATAATAATTATTACTATTCTTTATTTTGGTATTCTGTTTATTTTGGTATTCTGTTACCGGTTTTAACCGGTAACAGAATACCAAAATAAAAATACCATACTACCATTAAACCTTGCGCCAGGATAAGAAACCAGATAAAAAACTCTGTAGAGAAAATTGTCTGGAAGACCACCCCCCCCCCCCATGCATTATAGCGTGGTGCTGATGTAATGCTGATAGTACGAAATTGAAATTTTTTGTATTTGGGGTCGATAGGCCTACCTCACCGAGCGACAGACACATGGTTCAGTACCCAAAACTGCATTTCCAGAAAGTATACAATACCACAAACAATACTTAAACGGGCATTACAATTTGTTTTGTGTTCCAAA